ATATCCAAAATTGCAGTGTTCTTTAGAGCCCAGGCAATGGATTCCAAAGCTCTCATCCAAATATTCCCTGGGTATCCTGTTTCCATGAGTTCCTTTCTAGGCAGAAGGCAGACTGGTTCTATAATTTGCTCTGGCTGCCTCAAAGCTCCGGAGCATCTGGTAGGTAGAGGAGATGATTCGGAGGAAGGAGAGTGAGGGCAGCAAGCACAGGGAGTTTTTGAAGTCTTGGAATTGCTCTGTTTGGAATTTAATGAAGAGGAAGGGCGAGGAGGCCTTTGTGGGTCACAGGGGGATAATTTGTGGGAGGCGGTGCCAGGATAGATAGGCTGACTTACTTGAAAATTTCCCCTGGAGCCATAGAATTTAAACTTATACCAAAGTAGCACATGAGTACAAGAGTTGTTAATATTTTTGAATGTTCCAGGGACCACTTGGTAGTCTATTGAAGCCTATAGACTCATTCTCAGAAAAATGTTTTAAATGCATAAAAAAAATGATAGGATTATAAAAAAATCATATATATTATATACTATATTACTATATATGCTATATGCTATATATACTATTATATATACATACACAAAGGAATTATATCAAAATATAGGCATCTATCAGTATCAATCTCTCACCACAGCTGTACATGTATATAAACATATATGAGAGTATGCACATGTATATATATATATGAATACACTTACATGTATCTACACATGGATATATATAAACAGTGCATATATGTAAAAGAGCACACAATATATCAATACATATACATGTATACACACATGTATGTATCTATATATGTATGGTGTATTTGTGTGTATGTAGGTTCAAATACAGGCTATATTATACCACTGACTCCACATCTAATCTTCAGCAAGTCATTCAACTGGTCCAGGCCTGCCAAAGCCTCATCTAGAAAATGAGGGGTCTGGACTAAGTCATCCTTAAATTTTTAATAATAATGCTAATTTCTATACCTGAGTTCTTCTCCTGGCTTTTCCATTTACTGGGTGTGTAACATGTCACAGAATTGATAATCTTAGGTTGGCATGACCTTAGAGGTCATTCAGTCCAAAGGTGTGACACAGGCATGAGGGCCACATGTGGCCCAAACCACATAGAAAATGTAATTGGGAAATATTTAACAAAATAAATAAAAATACAACAAGATATAGATAATATTGATAATAGGTGGTTTTCTAAGTTATATGCAACCTGCAGATATTCTTATGTGTGGTTTAGTGCCCCCTGTTTCTGTTTGATGCTACTGATTAGTTTACTCACCCCATAAAGGAAACCTTTCTACTACAGTGATCATTTTTTTTTTTGGAGAGGCAATGGGGTGAAGTGACTTGCCCAGGGTCACACAGCTAGTAAATGTGTCTGAGTGTCTGAGGTCAAATTTGAACTCAGATCTTCCTGAATCCAGGGCCATGCTCTATCCACTGCACCATCTAGCTGCCCCAACTATAGTCATCCTTGATGAGGGACTCATCCAGCCTTTGCTGAAACACTGCCATTAATCATGACTTTACCATCTAACAAGGCAATGCATTCTGTTTTTGGACCAATTTGTTGTTAGAAGGTTCTTCCTTACAGTAATAACAGCACAATTAAAAGATGGAGCTTTAAAGTTTACAATGTTTTCCTCACAATGACCCCAAAGGAAATCAAGCTAGTATGACTTCCATTGCTTTAGACATTGGAGGGACAAAGTAGCTTGTTCAGTTTGCACAGACAGTCAGGGGTGCAGGTTTTTTTTTTTTTTTAGTGTAGTGAAGTGATAAAGCCTGGGATTTGGAGTCAAAGGGCTTGTGTCTGAACTCTAGCTCTGTTGCTTACTCACTGTGTGACATTAGGGAACTTACTTAACCTGTCTGGGCTTCAGGTTCCCCATTGCACAATGAAGGACCGGGGACTAGATATGACCTGCAATGTTCCTTCCTGCTCTAAATCTTGTGACCTTGAACTCAGGTTTCCTAACTCTAGCTTCTGTACTTTTCTCAGTATATTCTTGGTACCTCTGTTACAGTGAATTGAAATCTGCCTTCCTATTTTCGTTCTGCTATCTGGGGCCACACAGCATAAGTCTAATTTCACCAATAGATGACGTCTTCAAAATAAATGAAGTTTTCTCTTTATATATTTTCTTCTAGGAGGTCCCCAGAATTCCATCAATCATTCCTCATTTAAATTGTTGCTATCCCTCAAATATGTTCCACTTTCTCAATGTGTTTTCTAACATATGGTATCCAGAACTAAATATAATAATCCAGATAAGGCAGGGTACATTGGCATTATCACCTTCCTTTCTGAATTGGAGGCTTTAAAAAAATCCTCAGCACTTAGTACCGTTCTGGCATATAGTACGTGCCTAATAAATACTTATTGACTTGACTTCCTTGTTCAGAGCATTATAGAGTAAGCCTTTCTTACTGGAGCTTCAGATCTTTCAATTTTTGGCAATGATATCACTTTGTTGATTCCCTCAAGCTTGTAGTCAATTAACATCCTTGAGTCTTTTTGACTCTAGCTGTATTTAATCAGATCTCTCCCATCTCATGCTTGTGTAGTTACATTCTGAGACTTGGTGCATTATTCAAGTTTAAATTAAGTGTAAAGAAAGCTGTCAGCAACTCCTAGGGCTTTCTGTCCACTATGCTCAGACTCTGAATGGCCAAGGCTGCCTATATCAGGGAATCCCCTTTGACTCTTAAGAGGAAAGCAGAAATAAACTGTTGCGTGTATCTTCTTTGCTCCTAAAAAAAGGTCTTCCACCTGAAATAAGAATTCTAGGGCAAGCCTTGGGGCAGCTAGGTGGCACAGTGGATAGAGTGCCAGGCCTGTAGTCAGGAAGATTCATCTTCCTGAGTTCAAATCCAGCCTCAAACACTTATTAACTTTGTGACCCTGGGCAAGTCACTTAACTCTGTTTGTCTCAGTTTCCCCATCTGTAAAATGAGTTGGAGAAAGAAATGGCAAACACTTCAGTATCTTTGCCAAGAAAATTCCAAATGGGGGTAACAAAGAGTCAGACACGACTGAAAAGGACTGAACAATAAGGGCAAGCCTTCCCCCAAATTAATTTTACTCGTTAAAGATGCAATCCAGATGAATGGAAAGAGTAATGACAAAACAGTTGAAAACTGAATGCTGCAAAATTATACTGACCTAGCTTGGAAATATATTTGATGCAAAAATTAAAAACATCAATAAAATATATTTTTAAAAATACAGTCAGAGAGCTTCAATTACCTAGAGTAGTTTGAAGGCTTAATTTTGTTATTAGGATCTATTACTATGAGTAATTTAAGGGATTTGTTTACTTATTCACTGGCTCTCTACCCTAGTACTCTTGCCACAGTTTGTCAGAAGTTGGGGTTAAGAGGGAGTAAGGAGAAATTGACTTAATATCCTCTCCTTCCTCCTATTCCTTCTTTCTCCTCCCCTTTTCCAAAATGTTAACATGGGTGAGAGTCAGGGGAAGAAGGAAGAGAGAAACAGTTGTTATACTTCATGGAATAAAACAGAAAGACTTGGAGTTAAAAAATGTAGATTTGAGTCTCATCTCTACCATTTATTAACTACGTTTCCTTGGGGAATTATTTCACCTCCCTGAGCCTCAATTTCCCCATCTGTAAAATGATGCTAATAAGACAGACATTATTCCTAGCTCATCTAGTTCTTATGAAGAATGTTCTTTGTAAACCTTGAAGAATAATCTCACACTAAGATTGTGTCCATCCAAAAACTTTGAAAGACTTCTGAACTCTGATCAACACAATAAGTAAACATTATTCCAGAAGAGTGATGATCAAACATGCTACTGACCTCCTGATGGAGAGATGATGGGCTCAGGGACAGATTGCAACATATATTTTTTTGGACACAGCCAATGTGGCAATTTTGTTTTGCTGACTATGCATGTTGGTTACAAGCGCTTTAGTTTTCTTTTTTTCCAGTGGGAGAGAGGGGAAGATGAGACAGAAAATGAGTTTTTGTTCATTGAAAAAATAAAATAAAAGATAAAGTCACTTATTTAAATTCTTTTCCCTTTTCTGCCTGTCAGTCTCTCAATCTGAACTGTAAACTCTTATCTGAGATATGGTCCCAAATTCCCTTTAACTCCTATCACACAATTTGAGTTATTAGCACTGGTGCTTAAGATCATTCTGCAGACTATATTTAGCAAAACTTCAAAGGAGCTAGATGGAATTGAGTGAGGTTTTTCCCAAACCCCACCATTCCCCAGGTTGCCGAGCAAATTAATGAAGGAACCTTTTAAAAGGGTTGTCAATTGAAGCTTTGATTAGTTACCTTTATCCTACTTCCTATCAGCAGTCAAAATCACTGTATTCTCTACAATTATAATTATTTTATTTTTTTGGTGAGGCAATCGGAGTTGGGTGACTTGCCTAGGGTCACATAGCTAGTAAGTATTAAGTGTCTGAGGCTGGATTTGAACTCAGTTCCTCCTGATTCCAGGGCCAGTGCTCTATCTACTGTACTACCCAGCTGCCCTAATTATTTTATTAAAAAAATAAAATATTTAAAACATTTAAAATATTTTAAAAATATATTTTATTTTCTCTTTGCTAAAGTTAAAAATTGAGACTAGAGGTTGGAGACAAGATAGAGGGACTTCATTCATACTATAAGAGATCGAATAGCTCATATGATGATAGGATTTAGAACTACATCATCTTGTCCATTTCACAAAAAGGGAAACTGAGGACAGGATAGAGAAAGGAAGAAATTTGCTCAAGATTGTGCAGGTAATAACTTATGACTGAACTTAGATGTTCCAACTACAAGACCATTATTCTTTCCACTGAAGTACAGATGTAGGCATATTATATCTCTACCTTCTCCTACATCTGTATCTGTCCCTGACTGCCATGTAACTGATTTTATTATAAAAACCCATTCCAACCATTGCTCTGATTTTCCTTTCAGAAAATAAATCAACAATGAATCTGTAGTATTAATCCATTTTTTACCTTTTTTCCACTTGCTTTGTCTTCAGCTGCTGCTTTTCCTCAACAAACGAGGTATTTAGAGCTCTATGTAACCTCTGGAACAGAGAGAAAACATAAAGAAAAACAATTAGAAACTCTTCCCTTACAGAGTCACATACTTCCAGTAGGGAAAAAAGCCCTGGCTAGGCATCTGCCCAAGAGAACAGAGGGTACTGAGTCAGTTCAAGAGAATGTTGGCTTTTTATTTCCAACTCCTGGGGAGGCTGGAAGTAGGCTCTACTCCCACCCAGCTTTAGATTCAATGAAGGAACCTTTTAAAGACCTTTTAAACCTTTTAAACCATTTAAACCGCACAAGAAATCTCCAAGTTGTCGTTCTTTCTCTGAAAGGAAGCCATATGACTGAATATTTAGTAATTATTTTGGGTGTGAAAAGGTCAGTTCAAACAGTCTATATAGAAAGTTCTGATTTTTTTGTTCTTATCTTAAGGAACAGCCAGTAGGAGAACCTCTCTGATAGAATCCGAGTGTCCTCATAATCTGAGCTACTCAGTTACATTAAGGGAATGAGTAAGGGAATTACAAGATCATAGATTTAGATCTGCAAAAAATCCCTTGACGGTCACCTAGTCCAACCCTCTTATTTTCTGGATAAAGATGATGAGGCATAGAAAAACGAAATAAATTGCTCATGATTACACAGGTCCTAAATATCAGAGCCAGGGTTTGGATGTAGGTAGGTCTTCAGACTCCAAATTTAGCATTCACTGCACACTGGTGGAAATGGCATGGTCCATGTATGGGGGTGGCCAGTGGTGTTACTGACTTTAAGGAATGTCCTGAAGGTAATCAACAGCCAAGACCTATGGGTGTTAGAGCTCACTTAAATGTGTCTCTTACCACAGAACAAAGAAATAGGGTGCTTTCTTGAGCAGTCTCTTCTATGGGGGTAGTTGTGCAGAAGTGAAAGACTTTAAAATGCTTCCATTAGGAAAGACTGGGTAAGACCAGTAGAAGACAAAAATAGGATATGAGTAGGTGTCAGTCCTGTCTTGACTTGATTTATTCAGTAAGCTGATTCATGAAATCTAAGCACAAAGCAGTGCCTAGCATTGTGCTAGGCTTTGCAGGAGATATAGAAGTATGCTAGGAAATTGTCCTGTTTTCAAGGAGCTTAATTTGATGGGAAAGTAATTTTAGAATAGAAGTTCTTGAAAAGGAGAGGTCTACAGACTCTTAAAGGGTCTGTGAATAGATTTCAAGAGGTTCCATGAAATTGGATGAGAAAAAAATCCACATCTTGATTTTTTTAACCTCTAACTGAAATTTAGCATTTCCTTCAATTATTTAAAAACATTATTCTGAGAAAGTGTCTATTGGCTCCACCAAACCAACAAGGGGTCCATGACACAAGTGAGGTTAATAAGAGCTCCTATTTTAGAGGAAAAAAAGAGCTGTAGCTTCTTATGTGACTGTCTACATGCTTCTAATTCTCCACACAGCTGGTTAATCCTGCATTTCATAGAGTAATAAAATAATAGAATCTGAGTTGGAAGGGACCTTAGAGATGATGTAGTCCATCCTGTATCTGAAAAAATAAGCTCACTTTAAAGCTAGGTTTGAGTTGTGAGCCTGACACTTACTGCCTGAGTGATGTTGGACAAAACACTTCACATCTCTGGCCTGTTTCCTAGCTGTAAAGCTAGAATGTTGGACTAAAAGATGTCTAAGTTTCCTCAGAGCACAAAATTCTATGATGGCTGATAAGTGGTCGTCTAGTCTCTGTTTGGAACCTATCAGTTTCACTCTCTCCCAAGCTAGCACGTTCCATTTTTTTTAACATCTGTTAATTATTATGAAATTATTTCTTATATTGAATTGAAATCATTGCCCCTATAAATTCCACCCATTTTTCCTAGTTCTATCTTCTGAGGCCTAACAGAATAAATTTCTCCCACATGATAGCCCTTCAAATACTTACATGGTTAGCACAAGACTCCCTCCAAGTCTTCTTGTTAATAGGCTATCTCCATTTTCTCCAGCTGAACCCCATATAGCTTGGTTACAAGGTCCTTTAATATCATAGTTGTTCTCTTCAGGAGGGACTCCTTCCCCAAATGTGGTATTTATTAGAACATAATTCTCCAGACATGGTCTTGCTTACTATATGCCTGACAACAAGAATTTGTTTTCTACATCCCCTGGTAGGGTTGGAATAGAGATCACAGTCCTCTGGACCTCCCATGACACTCACCTGACTGGTGTGAAGCCAGTATTTCAGCTTGGATTTCTTTTTGATTCGTGGTAGGATCAGCCTATATACTATGTGCTCTCCAATGGTAGTTAAGATAGATAAGCCGATGCCAATGCACAACATCACAAAGAGTCCGGAAAAGTGCTTAATACCCATTTGTAAAGTCTAAATGAGCAAAGAAAAGAAAAAGGAAAGCCATTTGCAAAGAATGACAATAGGATTTGGTCCATTGTAGTATACACACAGCCATGACCTTTATTCTAAAAAAAAAAAAGTCAAAAGTATAATACTTGTGTAGTCATTAAATAATAAATTCATTCACTCTTTAAACATTTGTTAGGTAACTACTAAATGCAACACATTGTACTAGAGCTAGATGTAGTGTGTGGATACAAATGAAAATGAAACAAGGCCCCTGCCTTCGTGGAGCTTATGATCTAGGAGACAAGATAAAATTCAATTTATCAAGCAGTTCCAAAACACTGCTATGCCTAATATAAAAAGGAGTCTTTGATTCTCCTGGTTCAGGCTTAGGATTAGGAAATGATTCAAGTTTGGTTTTTGTCATTAACCCGTGGTTGTCGCAAATGCTAAGGAGAAAAACCCTTCTCTGAGTTTCTGAGTCTAAAGGACCTCTCTGGGCTCTGTTATCGGAGTCTCTTGAAATTCTCCATCTGTTTTAGAGAATGAGGATATGGTCAAGGGAAGAATGATTCTAGGGAGGTTAGTAATCACTTTTTTGGGGTTCTTTGAGCCACTTCCTGGCTCTCTAGTTGCTCCTTGAACTTGTAGTCCCATCCCCTGAAGGCCTTTCAGCCAAATTTGAATGACTGTTCATCAATATATTGTAGAGGTAATTTTTGTTTAGGTGTGGAGCAGACTAGATGACCTGGGAGGTCAATTGGAGCTATTGCCAAATGTGCTGAACTGCTTTGATGGGTGGCGAGTATTTAATCTGAGGCTGACTGCTCACTTTTCAGGGAGGTTGTAGATAGGATTAATGTTTTAAGTAGGAATTGGAATATAGGATCTCTGAGGTCCTTTCTACCTTTTAGAATCTTAGGTTCTGGGATGTCTCCAATCTCAGAGAAGTTCCTTCATTGCGTAAATCTAGGAAAGTGTCTTTCTCCGTCAGCTTCCTCTTCCATGGCAAGATAAGGACACTCCATTCCTTCAGGTGTCAGGTCTAAGATGTGACTCTAAAACTTTTGGGGCCTCAGCTGTCATTATAGTTTATATGTACAGTATTACTATGAAAGACAATGTTTCCCTGAGGGAGGAGACTGTTTCATTTTTGTCTTTGAAATGCTAACATCCAGCACAGGGCCTGGCACTTTGTAGGTGCTTAAGAAATGCTCGTTGATTCATTTACCATTTAATGATAATGATGATGACCTTTGCTTCTGTGTACCACCTTTTAGCCAAAAGAATCAAAAGGAATTTCAAATTTTCTGAGCTTGACTTTTCTCTTTGTTTAGAGGAGCTAGAAGGAGGCATGTGCATGGGAAGACAGCCTCAGATGCCATCTTTAATGGTCTCTAATTCATCCAAGATTACAACTGGCTGGACAGGAGAACACTAAAGCTACTGACCATTTGCAGATTTCTTTTGGCTAACTTGTAGGGTTGGGAGAGGTGTGGAAATGCATCCTTTGGGCATATAACAGGCATGTAGATACATTAATCCATCTCTTCTATGTCACCCTCTCAACCCCCATTCCTCAACTTGGGGATGGAATCAGTGGCAGTGTAATTGAAAGAGAATGATGATGATGATGATGATGATGATGATGATGATTACGATGATATTAATGATAACAATACTTAGGTTTATATGCAGCTTTACAATTCAAAAGTGCTACTGCCTGCATTGTCTCATTTGATGGGTTTATTGTACCCATTTTACAGATGAGGAAATGGGTTTAGAGAAGCTATAAAGTGACTTTCTCTAAGTCATATATCTAGCAAGTAACAGAGGTTTGGAGTCCAACTCAAAACGCCTGACTCTAAGCTCAGAGAATTTTCATTACAAATGCTGTGCCTCTCAGTTCCTCCTTCCATTGGTCACCTCTTTCATTGCCTGTCTTGTATTCCATATCCTAAATATTACTATTCCCTCCCTATTCCCGCATCCTCCTGACCTTCATATTCCTGCTTCTGATGTTCCTTTGATTTCCATCTTCCTGTTATTGGCCTCACCACCAACCTAGTCACCTAAGCTTGAAGATATGAATTCATTTTTGACTCATCGCCTTCCTTTATCTCCTGGAAACTATCAGTTCTGCCTCTTCAGTTTCTCAGCTGGTAGAACAGAGGCTTGGAATATAAAATCTGGTTAGAAGTATCTTTAGGTCTGGTTTGATCCTGTCTCAAAGGGTATCAATTTCAGAGAGGCAAATACTGTATCCCCACTTGGTCTGTGGGAGTGTCAGGTTGGGAGGTAAGGGATACAGGGATATTCTGGGTGATTATCAAGCTTTCAGAGGATCTAAATGGTGGGAAAAATACAAAGTGTGAACTGTAACTGTGGGCAAGAGTCAGTAAGTTGTTGTTTAGTTATCTCAGTTGTGTCTTACTCATTTTGGGCTTTTTTTTTTTGGCAAAGGCACTAGAGTGGTTTGCCATTTCTTTCTCCAGTTTATTTTGCAGATGAGGAAACTGAGGTAAATAGGGTTAAGTGACTTGTCCAGGGTCATACAGCTAGTAGGTGTCTAAAATCATATTTGAACTCAAGTCTTCCTGACTCTAGGCCTGGCACTCTATCCACTGTGCCGCCTAACTGCTCTGCCAAGGGAAAGAATGATTGGTAATTCTCACTCAACATAGTGTGCCAGCCCTATATCCATGGATGATTATGGGTATAGCCCCCTTTTTTTTTACAGAGGAGGAAAGTGATGCCCAGAGAGATGTGATTCAAGGTTCCAGTGGAAGTGATGAGCAGAAGACATTCAAACTCTTAAATTCTCTTCAACTTCTTTTCCTAGCAGTTAAGGGACTCACCAAAGCTTAATAGTTCTTGCCATTTTATACACTCAATGCAGCACTTCTGGTGTAGTGAAAAAGAATTAGAAACAAAGTGGATGTTTGTTGTTAGGGGAGTGATTAAAACATTATGGTACATGAGGACTCTTCTTCCACTGAAAGAAATAACGAACACGAAGAATCCAGAGAAGCATGGGGAGACTTATATGAACTCATGCCTGAAGTAAGCAGAACCACGAAAACAATATGCTGCTGCAATAAATGTAAATAGAAAGAACAACAAATTCAAATTGAATAATGACCAAGCTTAGTCCTAGAGAAGATTTGAGAAAAGTACCTGTTTCCCTTCATTGTAGAGGGTGTGGATGTGGAATATTGTCAGACATAGTTGATGTTGGGTAGTTTTCCCAAACTACTTCCTCACCACCCCCCTGCTCTTTTTCTTAAAATCTTTATTACCAGGGATGGTTTTTTGCATGAGGGAAAGAGATGCAATATATTAGGAAATGAGTGTGATATTAAAAAAAAAAAGTAGTAATAAGAATGAGATACAATTAAGAACAGAAAAGTGACTGGAAAAGCAAGATTAGAGTTGTCCCGTTTAATAATGTTCTCTATACGATACTAGAAGATTTTGTAAATAATTCATTGTGAGAGGTAATTCAACTAGGTGGTTACTTGTGTGTATAGATTAGTGAATAGAATTCTGAGTCCAGTGTTCTTTCTATTATATCATACTCAGTAAAAATAATCATAGTCTACTGGGAGCTCATTATATTATGATTCATGATAGAACTGCAGTAATATAATCCAAGCTGTACCATATTGTAGCCTCTCTGTTTTAGGTCAAGTCCAATTCCAGTCTGTTTGGTAATTCAGAGTTTGGCATTAAAATGAAATGAGATTTTACATACCAACTAATAGTTAGCCATAGCATAGCTAAAGAAATTGACTTGAGGATGTGTTTCCTCCCACCTGCCTCCTTCCCTGAGTCCAGTTTGTGCTACTCTACATTAAAAAATTTCTAGTTAAAGCTCTGGCATTGAGTAAGTTCTTCCCTGGGTTTCTAATTGTCCCTTCTCCAATTTGAAAGGTGTTAGGGAGGAGGGAAGATTGATCTGGAAGTTAATGTGGCTACTCTAAAGAAAGTAACTGAAAATAGGACAAAAACTAATCTTATCTTTTTACAAAGCTGCATTTCATCTGTATTTATAATGATTCATACACTTATGATCAGTCTATTTTCTTTTTTTAATTTATTTTTATTTTTTAACATGTGTTTTTAAAACTTCGGGTTACAAATTTTCTCTCTTCCTCTCTCCCCACCCACCCTCATTGAAAAGGCAAGAATCTCGATACAGATGCGTAGTCATACAAAACACTTCCATAGTAATCATGTTGTGAAAAACTAAGTATATTTCCCTTCATCCTATCCTACCCCCCATTTATTCTGTTCTCTCTTTTGACCCTGTCCCTCCTCAGAAGTGTTTGCTTCTGAATATCCCCTCCTCCAATCTGCCCTCCCCTCTATCAACCCCTTGCTCTCTTGTCCCCTTCCCCCCTTATTTTCCTGTAGGGTAATGATCAATCTATTTTCCAAAAGACCTAGCAGAGTTTCAGAGCAGGGTAGTTCAAAAACAATCCTAGGAGCTGGAGTGGCATCCACATGAGCACAGGTCAAGAAGATTAGGATTCTTTAGCAAGAAAAGACCTTGAATGCTCAGAGTGAGTCTGATTGAACTCTATGACATGATTAAAAGTTTTGGGAATATCTCCATGAACTTTGCTTGCTAAATCTTAGAATTTTTCTAACCTCTTTCAAAGCTTAAAGGAGGTAGTTAGCTTTTGGACAGGAAAAAGAAAACATTTATTTACCCATTCAGCAGTAAATTTGAGTTACTCATTCCAAGAAACTGTAGAAAAGAACATACATTGCCATTTGGGAAAACAATACCGTGATCAGACAGAAAAAAAAGGCTTACTCTGATTTGGACATAACTGCTATTCTTCGTCTTCTTTTTTTCAATTCTTTAACGTTTTTATTTAAAGTTTTGAGTTCCAAATTCTATCTCTCCCTCCTTTTTTGCCCTTTCCCTTCCCTGAAGTGGTAAACAATCAGATATAAGTTATAGATGTGCAATTATGTAAAACATTTCCATATTAGTGATTTTTTATTAGTTTATT